TTTCTCATTGCATGTACTCAACTTTTATAATCAGAGTAATGAAGAGAGAACCTTCAGTAAAGCCATAAGGTTTATAAAAATGAATATTAATTACATTAGTTGATAGTACTTCTCCTACTACACTGTTCATACCTATTCAAACAGGCCTTCTGAAGTCTCTCACGATTTTTCTTCATAGAGAGAGTGATGGGTTCAGGGAGTGAGGCAGGGGGAAGGGGGAGCAGGGTAAATTCGGCAGCTCACATGTGAGCTCCGGCGAGAAGTCCGTCCACCCATTGAACACACACACATATGTCCAAAACTGGCTTTCATGATTCTAAAAATACTTTCATTGGACGTTCATGTGTGTGTGACCCTGCCACACCTTGGTCATTCTCAATACACAAACGCGGGTTTATAAGAACATGGCCCTTAGTCGGACTTTGAAAAGAGTTTTAAATTTATGTACAAGTTGTTGAGTTTTGAGTCAGTCATACAAGTTGACGTGTGTCCAATTTTACTTGAAGTATGTCACTAAAGAAAAAGACATGGAATTTGAAACTGTACCCGCTTCCTGACTCTGGACGCGAACGTTTGACAACAGGAACGGGATTTGCAGGACCTTCTGCTGCTCGTGCTTGGGGCTCAGGAACTCGGCCAAGTGGAACCCGTGGAGGCGGAGGTGCGTGGGTAGGCGGCGGAACATTGGGTCTTCAAAAAAACAATCATTCATCAACCGACACTCATTGCAGTACGAAAGACGACCAAAAATGTTTTCAATTCAAGCATCCTCAAATTGATTCATTGAGTCCCTCCTTCGCGTAATTAACCTCATGACAGGGCACAGTAGGAACCCCACAGGCTTACGCGGTAATTAAATAAATCCACTCAAGACATAAATTTAATTTTTTGAACACAACAGAGTTTGCATATATTCCAAGATTTGTTATCCAGTGCATCTTGTCATTCAATCTCAGTTGTTGGAATAATTTGAGATAATCCTAAAAATTACCTTTTCTGAAAATCTCTCCAAGATGGTATTCCCAGACTGAGTTTTTGATTTTACTTTCCCAATTTTTCCTTGAACATTGTCTCTTGCAAGTTAAAGTGGTACATTATCAACACACAGATAAATTATAAGCATGGTCAACATTCTCATAAAAGATCAGGTTGCTTACAGTTATCAAAATATTGGATCTAGGATAATTCAACATAGGGACAATTCAAGACAAAAACCTTTCAAAACATTAAAAATTCGAGACATAAGTGGATAGAGCTCCAAGCCATCTCCTTTATCGTCCTCTGACTCTTAATTGAGACAATTTTGCCAAAATCTTCTTCCACAGAATCCCGCACCAATATTTTTCTACATTCACCTTGCTACTGTATATTCTTCTTGGAAGACGCCCAGATTCTTAAACGGCTTGCAATGCAGAGCACTTTTCTTATTACCGGTAGTTCTTTACTAAAAGCTTTTTTATAATTTCCTGTATATAACGAACTTATTTTACTTGAATAAAGACTAAAACGACGGAGTCTCACAGGAGCAGAGTTTACAAACGAAAGATGTTAACATGGGCAACGTTTAACAGGGACAGAGTTTAAAAGTGGCAGAGTCTAAACGCCTGTAATAATTATTCCAGTGCCAAATTTTCTGCCTCAAAGTATCCTTATCCCCAAAATATCAGATAAACTATGTCACCATTAACAGTTCCCCACAAACTCCGAAAATCCTCACGTAAACGGTTCAACGGCACAATCAAATTCCTTGGTTTCAATTCCTGCCCTCTTGATCGTCAAACGTCAGCGGCGGCAACCCAGTATCGGACATGAGATGCACGGGCAACGCGGGAGGCGGTCTCCTCACATCCAACGGTGGCGGCAGCGGAGCTAATAACCCACCTTGTTGCGCATGCTGAGGACCGCCGCCAGCGTTGACAGGGTAATTACGCACCGGGGACGGGGCTTTCCATTGAACTTTCACAACTGCAAAAGGATAGAGAGAGTCAAAATGCACAAAAATTGACAAAGCAAGCATTTTTCAATTACCGGTAGAAATGCCGGTCTTCTTCGTTTTCTTTTTGGACAAAGACGTTGACAATTATGATGACAAACTAGACAAGGACCAACTCTTATTTGAACCACTTTTATCTCTGCTCCCCAACAAAGAGTAACTACTTGATCAAGAAGACCTGAAAAAAGGAAAGCTTGGTCAATTCCCAGAATAATCTGTACGCCCGCGTTCGTTTCTTACATACTAAACATCCTTCCTTTTGTCAATCAGTCCCAGAACTGAAAATGTTCTCAATACAGTGCATAAATGTATGATGAATTAGTAAGCTTACGTTCAAATAAAACCGTTTTGTCAAATTTAATTTTGAATAGCCCTTCAACCAGATCCAAATTTATTATTATCATACTGCTAAAAGAAGGTACTACATGGACTCATCCTATAAACTTTGATTCTCTGTGTTCTGAAGTTTAAAGCTATGTTAAAGTTGGACTTAAGTTTACACCTGTACTAAACTTTGGACTTAAGTTAATTAAAAGAATTGCTTTGATTTAAAAAGTTCCTCTCAAAAATGTCCAATTATATACTCAAGAGTGACGCAAACTAAACTCCCAACATTCTTTTGCAGTCTAAAACTCTTTTCTCCCATGAATTTTGAGGGAAAAGGTGCGCGTGGTACTCGGACCTGTATCTACAGAGATCCATAAATATCACTTTCAAGAAACACTCAAGATCATTGAACCTAGAGCTAGATGATGACAAGACTGCACAACATCAAACAACGAGTTCCCCAGCCTTCTCTTGCATCCAAGGATCCATCCAGGCGTCTCCTTGTGCACCTGGTGCTCTCCTGGCCCCATTGACGTGTTCAACTTTCACGGCCTTGGCCACACCATCTTTACTGTAATTGACAACTTGTTCAGGCCTTCTTCCTTGTTCTTCTATAAATCTATCTCTACGATGGTCTTGACAATATGCACCACCTTCTTGCGGATACAAAATGGCACCTACTCATTAGACATAGCATTGCTTGTCCCGCTCACGCTCCTTTTCTGCTTGCCAGCGCTGCAGTTCTGCTTTGTATAACAATGGTCTTGACAATATGCACCACCTTCTTGCGGATACAAAATGGCACCTACTCATTAGACATAGCATTGCTTGTCCCGCTCACGCTCCTTTTCTGCTTGCCAGCGCTGCAGTTCTGCTTTGTATACTTTGGCCGGGAGCTCTCTAGAAAATATAGAAGTGTATTTCAGTAGCTCTCGTACCCTCGGGTCACTCAAGAAAATGAACAATTTCTTCTCGCTAGATTTCTGTGCGACAGGAGTCCTTGAATTCACTTTTTATAACAGAGGTGCCAAATAAATACAATCACACTTTCTTTACCATACTTCAGGGTATCTTAGTTCAGGTTTGGCTATAGTTATTCAGATTTTTTTTGCACACAAGGAATGCTTTTCAAGTGTAGAGACTACCTGGAACATATCAATGGGATTTCCTTGATTCTAAGATGAAGCCGGGCTAGAGTAGTATCGTTATGTGAGGGGTGTTAGTGTAAAATCTTATGTTACTTAGTCTTTTTTCTTACAAAAGTTCCTATTTTAGGTCTTAAATGAAATTATACAAGAAAAACTACAAAAGAGGTACAGATTTGCTGCATTAGAAACTCAAAAACCATCGTTAGCACAGTTGACAACTTCTAGTGAACCTTCCGTGTAAATGGGATGCCACCTGAATTTTCCAAATAACTTCAACTCAAACATCGAAATCAAAATCATCATTGTGAAAACAAAGATTCCACCAGAAATTCCGAGCCTATATAGTCGCAACACCTGATGCATAGTCACGAAATATTTTCATCCGCTGACAAGTCCGGACCACTCCTTTGCGATAATGTCATATTTGGTCAGACACAAGAAGGAGATGACAACATCTTCAGAATTTGGAAATCTTGCACAAAATAAGGAAGAATTGGAAAAACATACATGGATTCCATCTTTGCTGGAGGCGTTTGCGGCCGAGCAACATAAATATCTTGTTTGAGAAGTAGTCCAAGCCCTACAGGTTTTGGTTCTAAGTAAAAGAACAGGAGCTTTAGATTTAGGGTAAGAAAGGTAAGTAAACGGGCAAATTATGCGACTCTATTTTATTCTTCACCAAACTCTCGTACATAGTTGAAGAAAACGGCGGAAAACAAACCTCTTTGACGGCACGAATGCCTCTTTCCCAGCCTGTTTTGTTCAAAGGAACAATTTCCTCAGCAGGTGTTTTGCCATCCTCAAGGTTTTTGTCTTCGTGGCCACCAACTTCTGTATCCACACCAGGAGTCTTGCTTTTCTTGGCTTTTGCATCTGAATCTGCAGGACGGACTTCCTTGGCAGCTTTTGGTTGTTGGGCCATAGAGAAAGCCAAATAATCGGGGTGATCCCAATATGGACGTGGGACACTGAAGAGGCTGTAATTCCCTTTATTGTGAACTCTGGGGTGCAGAAACCTGGAGAGAAATTCAGCATTTGAAGCAGCTGCGGATTTTGGGTTTGGCGGCAGAGACTCACCAGCAACTAGCGCCCCATGTACTGTACACTGGCCTTTGCTGAAGAATTAGCAAACGGAACGGCTGTAGCTCTTGAGATAGTGTGAATCTTCTTCATCATCAACTTCTCCGTCTTCTAAGTCTTCAACAGGCTTTGCCAAAGTAGGCTCAGGGACAACCTCACCATCATCGATTTCACCTTCTTCTTCCACAGGTGCATGGAGTTATTGCAGCTCAAAAGCAGATTCTTCTTTGCTCAAAGCACCTACAATCCGTTTGACTTAGAACGGAATCAAAATTCGGAATAAAAGCAGAATTCTTGCCTTCTTCCGATTCCATTTCTTTCAAAGCAAGAGTTGTCGGGAACTCTTCTCGGGAGCATCAAGAAGCACCGTATTTACAGGGGTTTCTGTCAGACAATCCCCCATATGATCTTCCGTTTTGAGGAATTCAGCTAAAATCACTGCTGGAACGTTGAGAACCAAACAAAAATGTTAAATCCTCAAGTTGACGGCGATCAGTTACACTAAATCTCCACTTCACAAGGGTTCAGAGAACTGAACATAATGAAAAATAGACAGGATACCACAAAATACGAAGAATTACGCGCATTTTGCATGCATGATAAGCCCCCTTCATGCATGATGTCATCCCCCCATTGTTTGCTGGGTATATACAGGATTTATGCCATTTCATAAATACTGTACAGTTCCAATACTGATATTCTGAAAAAGTCATCACTGGAAAACAGGGAATCAATCAATGAAGCAATATTAATAATTATGAACTTAAATTATACAAGGTTGTGAACTGAATATAAATCATGAATAATTCACATCAAACAAGTGATATTTGGAAAACTTCATAAGGTATGCATTTATATCATACAAATTTCTAGTTTGAATTGTTGGAAACAATTTTGAATGTCCATAGGAAGGGCAGCATTGAGAATGAATGCAAATAAATACAATATAAGAACCCTTTAATAGCAAATTTANTCATCAGGTTTGGGATGTCCAAAACCAAGATTCATTTTCTTGTCCTCGAAATCTAAATCCCATTCTTTCCATTCATTTGCCCGTTTAATACGCTGAGATAAAATAAGAAGTGGTTTGAGAGCATGTATAAGTTGAAGAAAACGGCGGAAAACAAACCTCTTTGACGGCACGAATGCCTCTTTCCCAGCCTGTTTTGTTCAAAAAGGAACAATTTCCTCAGCAGGTGTTTTGCCATCCTCAAGGTTTTTGTCTTTGTGGCCACCAACTTCTGTATCCACACCAGGAGTCTCGCTTTTCTTGGCTTTTGCATCTGAATCTGCAGGACGGACTTCCTTGGCAGCTTTTGGTTGTTGGGCCATAGAGAAAGCCAAATAATCGGGGTGATCCCAATACGGACGTGGGACACTGAAGAGGCTGTAATTCCCTTTATTGTGAACTCTGGGGTGCAGAAACCTGGAGAGAAATTCAGCATTTGAAGCAGCTGCGGATTTTGGATTTGGCGGCAGAGACTCACCGGCAACTAGCGCCCCATGTACTGTACACTGGCCTTTGCTGAAGAATTTGCAAACGGAACGGCTGTAGCTCTTGAGATAGGGTGAATCTTCTTCATCATCAACTTCTCTGTCTTCTAAGTCTTCAACAGGCTTTGCCGAAGTAGGCTCAGGGACAACCTCACCATCATTGATTTCACCTTCTTCTTCCGCAGGTGCATGGAGTTATTGCAGCTCAAAAGCAGATTCTTCTTTGCTCAAAGCACCTATACAATCCGTTTGACTTAGAACGGAATCAAAATTTGGAATAAAAGCAGAATTCTTGCCTTCTTCCGATTCCATTTCTTTCAAAGCAAGAGTTGTCAGGAACTCTTATCGGGAGCAAGAAGCACCGTATTTACAGGGGTTTCTGTCAGACAATCCCCCATATGATCTTCCGTTTTGAGGAATTCAGCTAAAATCACTGCTGGAACGTTGAGAACCAAACAAAAATGTTAAATCCTCAAGTTGACGGCGATCAGTTACACTAAATCTCCACTTCACAAGGGTTCAGAGAACTGAACATAATGAAAAATAGACAGGATACCACAAAATACGAAGAATTACGCGCATTTTGCATGCATGATAAGCCCCCTTCATGCATGATGTCATCCCCCCATTGTTTGCTGGGTATATACAGGATTTATGCCATTTCATAAATACTGTACAGTTCCAATACTGATATTCTGAAAAAGTCATCACTGGAAAACAGGGAATCAATCAATGAAGCAATATTAATAATTATGAACTTAAATTATACAAGGTTGTGAACTGAATATAAATCATGAATAATTCACATCAAACAAGTGATATTTGGAAAACTTCATAAGGTATGCATTTATATCATACAAATTTCTAGTTTGAATTGTTGGAAACAATTTTGAATGTCCATAGGAAGGGCAGCATTGAGAATGAATGCAAATAAATACAATATAAGAACCCTTTAGTAGCAAATTTAATTCAGACAATTTCTCATTGCATGTACTCAACTTTTATAATCAGAGTAATGAAAAGAGAACCTTCAGTAAAGCCATAAGGTTTAGTAAAATGAATATTAATTATAGTTGTATAGATAGTACTTCTCCCACTACACTGTTTATACCTATTCAAACAGGCCTTCTGAAGTCTCTCATGATTTTTCTCCAAGGAGAGAGTGATAAGTTCAGGGAGTGAGGCAGGGGGAAGGGGGAGCAGCGTAAATTCAGCAGCTCACATGTGAGCTCCGGCGAAGTACAGTTCAATTCAAAGCTTGGACTGGAATCACTGGACATTAAGCAATATTTTGAAAAAGAACTCTTCCATCGATTAAATAGATTCTTCCATTAATCGTGGTTCAGAATCCGTTTTCTGGCGATAGGGGAAGGGGGAGCAGCGTAAATTCGGCAGCTCATATGTGAGCTCCGGCGAGAAGTCCACTCACGGATCACTTTGTGGTATCTTCCACAGGATTCAGAGGAAAGTTGATTCCACAGTGATTCTTGAAGCAGCATTTACTTTGGCAAAAATAATGATGAATCTGCGGAAATATATTTTCAGGGGAGGCCTTGGAGCTATCCCACTTGGGGGGAGCCATGCCCAAACCAATGCTCTCTGTCACAACACATGGAGTGTTATCAGCAGCATCCATGTGTGGTTCTCAAAAATGAATCCTCACTACCCCAATTATGAGGTCAGGTTATGTTAGTTAATAATTAATGCAAAAGTACAGTAGAACTTTGGACAAGAAAGCGTTTTGGACCTTGAAAAAGCTTTGTCATATAAAAAAATTCATCAAAAAGAAATTTAAATAAGAATGTGGCAGTTGGGGCAGGGACTGAAGAAGACATTTCTCCAAAGCATGAACAAGATTCGTTGCAACAAGATGGAATTGGCTCTCCTCTGAATTTCATGGAAAGAACTATACTGCATGTGTTCACCATGGAACTTCACTCCGCAGATTTGAATGGACCCGCCAGACGGCATAGCGCACACTGTAGTACAGGAGTGCATCCTGCCTAGGCAGGGTGTACTCCTGGAGTGCATCCTGCCTAGGCAGGGTGTACGCCTGGAGTATGATTTTGGGGGAGTAGGCTGTGCCGCCCACACCGGGTAGGATTGTATAGACAGTTGCTCTGTAGTTCTTGACTTGTATGGTAGATGTCGCTTCTGACGAATACCTTACTGCATGCTGGTCTGAAGATTTGTACAGAAATAACCACTTACGGGCAAAATAGGCATCACAGAGCAACAGCCTGATATTGAACTGCTCACTGTTGGAAGAGAACGAAGGTTGTAAAAAAAAGAGAATCCGTGAATCATGCATTTTCCTTTTGGAGAAGCTCTTATTATTTAGCTGCTGATGATGATTGGAAACTTGGGAGTAATTTGACCAGAACGCTTCTGGGTTTATTTTAGAAAGTACATAATAGCGAAGGTATTGAACCATGCCATCAGCTTATTCCATAAGATGATGACCTACATATATACAGTACAGCTGTATTCAATAATACAGTACTGCCAGGGAGGAAACTAGAGTAAGTAGGTATCGTCAAGAGTGACACCTTGTTAGATATTGTGAAATGCGAGGCGCTCGGTGCAACCATGCGGCGTGCTTGTTTATACAGTACTGTACTGTACTTCTAAGCTGAGGGTCTGTATCGGGGCCTGGACATTTGAGCAGTGCTTTCAACTCTGGGCCGCCCATTTTCACGCCTCTCTGCTAGGGGGTGAGGGAGAGCGGCGCTTGCAGGGGTGGCGTGGAAGAGAAAGCCCCGAGTGGAAGTACCGCGAAAGCGGAGTAAAGTACCACGACAGTTTGGAAGTGTGTCTGTCAATGTCATAGCCGAAATTCTTGGAAATGTATTACTTATTATGTTCTACAGTACTGCATTTGATAAAATGTTCATATGAATCTAATACCGTTCTTGCTTCCTAAAAGTGGTGTTGTTTGTGCGTAACTTTCTTGAGGCGTGAGATGTGGTGGCTGCTGGCGACTGCTTCAGATTTCGTGCCGATGAAAACTATGTAGAGGGTAAGCTTGTTCTGTAATGATTTTGACAGATGCCCGCGAGATTTTTTGATCAATCCTCTGATTCGTCCTCAGGTTGGTGTCAAAAGCAACCGAAGCAAACAGAAGCAGAGGATGGTATTCTTCAGGAAACATGTGCCATCCTGCATGCTTCCCGTTGTGATTTTCGCATTCCAGTTCTTCTGTCCAGTCGAATCTGGTAAAACCTTCTAATATCTTTAATCTTGTGTTTCAGACGTGATTTAAGGCATTTTTCTTTCTCTCTAGGGATTCGATTGAGCAAGTCGGTTGGCTATTACGAAATTCTTTCGTACCCTCCGGAACCTGTGCACGAACAACATCATCGGGTCAAGCGTTCTCAGCAACCTGAAGTTGAAACCGTGCGCTCAAGTTGCTGAATTTAAGATGAGCGTGATGATCAGTAAGGTTTTTTTTTTTTTTTTTTTTTTTCAAAGGTTGAAATTGATTTCAACAGTCACGGGAAAGACTTCCGGTTGCGACTGAGGCGAGATACTACGACCTTCACCGACAGCTATCGGCAACGGACAAGTGCTGATGAAGAGGATGCTACCATTGATCTGACTCATTTGTACAGCGGTTATTTAAAAGGTCCGGCGAGCGAAGGTCCTCATGCTTCTATCGTGATTGAAACCTTGAGTGTATTGCAGATGTGCCCGGTTCCACTGTGTACGGTTCTGTGTGGGATGGCGTTTTCGAAGGTAACATTGAAACGCCTGAAGACGGGACGTATTTCATAGAACGTGCTACGAAGCATTGGAATAAAGATAGTCGGATATTCTTCCTCGACAACGCTGACGTCGACGAGAATGCTGCAACTCTGGAACTCCGAAGTGATGGTGTTGGAGCAGCAGAGGAAAGCTTTCCGATGCGCGATAAATTTCATTCGGTGATTTACCACGAGGACCAAGTGTCCAGTGTCCCTTTGGGGAAGAACGATGGTAAGCTATCGTGTATTTGTATTAGGTATTTTAGTCATTTTACAACGAATTCTCGTCAACATTATGCGTGTGTTTTAGGTAAAAAATTTGGTTCCTGCGCACTGAATGATGATACCGTTGAAAACTGGATGCATGAAGTAGAGCGATCTGTTGAGATCGATCAACCCGTTGAAGTTTCCAAGTCTTCCATTTCGTCAAATGCATTGGACCTCAATCTAAAAAGAATCAAACGTTCACCGCAATCATCAGCTAGTCGGCAATATTCGACTAACGGCAACAATCGAAGAACAAGTTATCCTAGTCAGCAACGCTCCGGAAACAATGGTAGCGGTGTGGGGAGTGGAAATGGAAGTGGAACGTGCGAAATGTTTATCCGCACTGATCCGATGTTATACAAGTATTTTCACAAAACGGAAGGGATTCCTGAGGATCGTGTGCAAGAAGAAATTGCATCCCTTGTGCAGCAGTTGATAAAGGCAGTGTCGAATATTTATTCAAATACGAAATTCAATATGGGGCGCTACAACCACTCCGGAATAACCTTTGCTGTGCAACGGTTGCGGGTTGATAATTATACAAAGGACTGTGTGGAGGATCGGAGAGGCAGTGCCAAGCCGAAGAATATATTTTGCAGCCCGAGCATCGACGTCACGAATTTTCTAACGTTTTTCTCGCATGAGAACCACGATGCGTTCTGTCTGGCGTTCATGTTGACGTGTCGAGACTTCAGTGACGGCACACTGGGACTCGCCTGGGTTGCTTCCCCATCCCGAGGTATGCATTCGAAGACTGTGTAGAACCCTTTGTAGGGGTTAGTGCGGTTTGTGTTCCTCTTGAAAAATGAATTGAGGAAGTAGTGTACTTTATGCTTTGAGAAGTCTGCAGTATCTACACGATCTGTTCTTCTACCGAACAAATGGTTTTAAGCCCTGGACAGTTTGTCGTATTTGCTCGAGTACCACATGCCCTCGAATAAATCTTGCACCTTGATTTCTTGGCGCAAAATTCGACCAAAAACCTATCCCTGCGTAAGATTCGCACCCCAGTTTATGTTGGCTGACAACCAAAATTTCTGTAACCAAATAATATTTTGTGACCGAGAAATCTTCTAATAAAATAAGATAAAGCATTCAACAGGAAAGACAGAATCTCTTGTCCATTTTTCACATCAGTCCAATCTAACTTGAACCACTAGGTTTTTTGTTTTTCTTTACGAAAAATGTATCCCCGCATACCGCGCGCACCCCTCCCCCTCCCCCAATTTCTGCGGCTATCATCCAAAAAATGATCCGTATGGTACGCGAATAAATACAATACAATGCCCATTCTAGAACTGGAATCAAGCACTGTATCTCCAAAGCGCTGTGATTTGAAAGAAGATCGTACTAACGTATACGAAAAGCGTACACTGAGTTGAATAGCCTCTTTTGATCAAAGGCAAAGCGAAACTCGGGAATAGAAAGAATTAGCTTTGAAGTGAAAGAGTCTCCCTGTGCAGTACAGTATTTAGTGATTCGCGGAGGAAAGGTTTGTGGAGGATACAATAGACCTGCACCCACCCGTGTAATGTTGGCACCATATTTGACATTCAATATTTTTTGTTGCTCCGAATTCTTCAACCAATACGTTTGGCTTGTTAACAATTGTTTTTCAGGAAACAAAGGCGGAGTTTGTGAAAGGAGGGGACGAATAACTGGTCATGACCAGGAACTAAGTCTGAATACCGGCGTGGTGACGTTTCTGAATTACAATTCCAAAGTCACCATAAAAGTATCTCAGCTAACGTTGGCGCACGAAATTGGACACAACTTTGGAGCTGCCGTAAGTTTGAATCTCGCATTCCTTTATGTTGGGTTCATTTGAATATCGAATGTTTTAACGCGAAACCGTAATTTTGGGATAGTCCGTTTTTCTTAGAACACGAGTCATAATCCGTTGCGAGAGTAAACATTTGAGTCATTTTTCGCAGCACGATCCGGACAGCATGCGTCAGTGCATTCCGGGGCCGGAAGATGGCGGGAATTATATTATGTACCGTCACGCAACAAAAGGAACTTCCGCCAATAACAGACGTTTCTCACCGTGTTCTGTGAGAAATATATCTCTGGTTCTGGATGCCATCTACCAAAGCACCCAAGTTGATAATGGGAAATATTATTGCTTCAAAGGTTAGTACATACTGCAATGCTTCGCATTAGACCAGTTTCCACCAACATTTTTTTATTTTATGGAAAGTTCTCCTAGACTGCTCATGGTTTCCGTCTCTTATCTTAGCTCTATATTCTCTTTTCTATTCGGCTTCGTAAAATATTTTTTGAATGCGGTAGTCATCATGCGATGAAAATCCATTACAGGAATGTCCGATGTTAAACAGAATTCTGTGAAGTTTACTTCTGCAGTTCTGCGTGAAGTTCGCTTCATGTGTATGCCGCTGTTTCCCCAAGAACTAGTTCTTCAGGATTTGGCATACGTTGGTTGTTGAAAATGCTTCCCCTGAAAATTAGACCAAAATCATGTTTGAGTTTTTACACTAAATGGGAAACCCAAGCGGGAGGGGATTTTGAAAGTTCTCTTGTATTGCGTGACGTGTTGAGATTTCCGTTTCATTTTAAAACATGATGAGGCTCAAGCAAACCGAATTGTCATTTCAAGAAGTTCCGCATAAATGCATGAGTCAGAGGCCCCCAAAATGAGAATAAGGGAGCCAGACCTTCTTTTGATGCGAAAATGTATGCATTTGATGGAAAAATTTTGTGATGGTACAGACTGCAGATTTTTAAAATCTCCATTGCAGAAATTGCCACATCCTGATCCTATTTGTTTGCACGCGTAAGAAATTCGTTTGTGCCTTGGAAAGTCATTTTAATTCGGATTATATTTTTTTGAAATTCAGCCGATATTTTATTGTTTTTAGGATTGACTTTGAAGAAGGCTGGGGTCATATTCTTCTTGTGTCTGGAGATCGTGCAAGTTGCCTTTATTGAAAATGTTGTTCTGTATTTTTAATTTCAGCATCAAATCTGACGTTCTGTGGGAATCGTATGGTTGAAGAGCACGAGGAATGCGATTGCGGTTTTGACGATCACGAGTGTCGAGACGATAAGTGCTGCCACCCGCGGATCGGCTCAGACGGGAAACAGCACAAATTGGCGTGCAAACTCGTACACGGTCCAGACTCGTGCAGCCCAAGCCAAGGTCCATGTTGCCGAGGTAGCGAGTGCTCTGTCATAAAACTTCAAGAGGAGGTTGAATGCGCCAAAGAGTCTGAGTGCAAAGAACGCAGCAAATGCGACGGACTAAGTCCCAAGTGTCCTCGTGCGTCTTCCAAACAGGAATTGACCGAGTGCAATCATAGAACTCAAGTATGCATGAATGGCGAGTGTAACGGAGCGTATTGCATGAAATGGAATCTCCAGGTAATATTTTTGCTGCGCTTTCAGTTTGTTTTAAAACGTGCCTTAATGTTGTACAACTTTTGTGAAGGAATGCTTCCTGACATCATCGAAAGTTCAAGACAAGCGGAAGCTCTGCGAGTTGGCGTGTCAGTTGAAGGGACGCCCTGAAACGTGCACTTCAACCTCCAGATTGTATGCTGCAATTGCTGGGCGTGACATTGACCTGTCGACAAATGAGGTCCAAGTGGACAATATTGCCCCCGAGCTATTGGAGCAGTTTACCAAGTCGTTGAACTTCAATGCGACCGAACCCCTGAGGACTATTCATTTGATGCCGGGATCAGCCTGTGATAATTATCAGGTGACAAATTTCGCGCAATTCACAGGCAGAGGAAAATTGGAAGACCGTTTGAGTGTAGGGCGCGTTTTTACTAATAATGAATTTCACTTTTTGCATCAGGGATATTGTGATGTTTTCCAAAAATGCCGCGCAGTTGACGAGGAAGGCCCATTGTTGCGTATCAAGCGGCTCTTCTTTGGAAAAGAGACGCTCAAGACAATTCAAGAATGGATTACTGTGAGTACGATTTAATTGTTTTTTTTTTTTTAAAGAACACTTCTGCAGTTTTCTGCAGAACAAAAATTTGGAAATGCAGTGCTATTTTCTTAGTACAGTATTTTAGAATCAGATCAAAAATGTAAAAAAGGACTACGACAAGCTCATTGCTCGGTTCCGGGTCGAGTGCAAAGATGCGAACAGCTTTCTAATTTTGTTTTGTTATTTCAAGTTCGGAAATTCTATTTTGCGTGATATTAATTTGAAGTTTGGTTGCTCTCTTAGCTACCACATGTCCATTTTTGATCTGATTTTAAATGCGTACCGTACATTTTTCACATAGGTTTCCTGGTGTTGCATTGGTACTGTATTTTCAGAATGCAATAATTTCTTTAAATGGAAAGTTATCCACTTGTGGCGAATTAAGTGCATGCTTATGGTAATTTTCGTACAGAATGGCCGGTTCTTTTTATTGCGTGATTCAACGAGTTGTTGCAAATGTGAGATGTGACAGGGGGTTTTAAATGAAAGTGCCTCGCATTTATACGATCTTGTTTTACGCCGCGCTACTATTGGACAATGCACGAGAGGGCAGTGATCGGAAGTTAAAAGCACTATACTTACTGTATTTAGGTTTCATATGAGTAGTATTAATCCTAAGTCATATTATGGTTTTCAAACGGTTTGTGTGAAGTGTGACTAATTCTTATGATAAAGATTGCCCTCTCTCTCGATTTCTATGGCGCATTTTTCCAGTTTGGTTTGCTGTCGTTTGTGGTCAAAATTGGTTTGTTTTTCATGCTTACTTCGTATAATCTGTATTTCTTACGAGTTGCCTCTGTGTGCACATGTGCATTACTCAGATGACGTAAGAAGGCTGATTTTGTTCCGGATATAAATTGGATAGAATGATTCGGATACATGCTCCGTACTTTTTTGCTCCGAGCAATTTTTTAAACCCTGAAATGCGGTACAGTATTCGCCTTAAATTTGATGAGTGTGTTTATTTTATTCAGAACACGAAACATCGCACATTCCGACTCACTTTTTGAAAGCAAAAATGAACCGCAGTAACTCGAACCAAACGAAGTTGAATACAGTACCTCCATATTTTGAATTTTTTTAAGTCCATGTCTGAATTCCCTTAAAAACGATGTACAGTATCTCAAACCTCCCTAACTCAAAGACTTTTCTCCGCAAACCTCCATATCTCTAATTTTCGGAAGGCATTTTGCTACTAATTTATTGACATAGGAAAAAGAAATCAATAAAAATTTAGCTTGATGCGTTTTTAAAGGAAGTGAAAGACTAATTGAACAAATGAACCCGTGCCTCAAAATTCAGCATCATTTCAACTCATTCAAGAAGTATTTTAAGGACCAGAATATCACCAACTACAATTTCTCACGATTCCCCTTTCTTTCTCCCAGCAAAATTGCTTGTTTCCTTGAAGGTAAACCTCTCCAACTCGAATGTTTTTTTGCTGGTCCCTTGAAGTTTGAGTTGGACTTCAGACTGTATACCTCGAACTGTAAAATTTTTCATTGGATAATTTTTTTCTGTTTCTCTCGCGTTTTACACCTGCGGTGATCTTTCGATATTTCTTTCGATTCAATTCAAGTTTTCAGATTGCAGTCATGTTTTCCGTTGAAATTTACGGCGTTAATTGTTTTCCTCGATCTTAGGAGCGGTGGTGGGCTGTTGTGCTGATTGCTGTTGGGTTGATCGTGACCATGGCCGGGCTGATCAAGTGCTGTGCCGTCCACACACCATCTTCTAACCCGAAACGGCCGCGGGCCCGTCGACTTCAGGACACATTCTACTACGTGCCGATGACGACGGCTCGTCGAGTCGGCTCAGCAGCCTCATCCACGCTACGTCGCGTGCGTCATCATCATCACCACCACCATCCTGTACAGCAAGTACGAGTCCCAGGTTACGCCGCTCCTAATGTGCACTTGGAGCTGATGCCAGGCGGTGGACGTCGCGGAAGAAATGGCCGCGGGGCGGCGATGTCGGATGCCGAGGCGGAAATTAGTCTCGCGCCGCCGTCGTCGGCGTCGTCGCAACCTCCACGAGGTCGCGGACGCCGCGAAGTTGGGAACGGAGGAGGCGGAATGCTCGTGGCAATACCGCCGCCTGCTGCCGGTCTGCCCAAAGCCGGCAAACGCGGATCTCGGCCCAGTAACAGGGAATTCAGCTTGGTCCAGGGCCCAAGTCAAGGTAAACCAGTGAAAGGGCGAAAGAAGTGAGGAACACCAGTACCGAAATTCTTCCTCCCGCGTTCAGTCGTGTTAGACTGCTTTTTTTGTATCGTGCGAGTGATGTACAAAAGATACGTGTTTTGCAGTTTCCTCCGTGAATGGTCTCGCGGATTTTCGGCGTGATGCTCTACTTCTGAATCCTGGAGCTTAAAGCCTAACAACTGCGGATAAATTTCCTGAATAAGTAGTTGCTGCATCTAATTTCGCTCCAGAGGTTTTTTTCCCCCCTCCGAACCGTTTTGTAGTTCTGTGTTGACGGAGAACGTAGATTATGGTCCTGTCGCTGGAGCTAGGAAAGGGTGCAACAAAATTATGGGTCGCGATCTCCTCGGAAGTCCGTGAGACCATTTGAACTGGGTACTCATAAATCGCGTCGGGATTTCGACGTCCGGTTTTTTTTATCGAAGATAATTGATTATTAGGACATACTGCCATGTCGAGAAGAAAACAAAATTATTGTCATTTTCCCACGAAGAGATAAGTGAGAAGTTAGTGTGAAGAAGAGTCTCGTTTATCTTAGAGTTGAGAGTTTTATCGCTGCTGTGAAGCCAAAAGCGCGAAGAAGCACTCATCGGATCAGTTGGTGGAAGAGAGGCTAATGAATTAAATTCGTTTGATCATTTTTGTGTTTCGCTAATTGAAAAGGGCGACTTATTTTATTCATTTATGTTTTGGATGCTTTCACGTGCGTAGGTGAATTGCTTTCATTCAATCGGTGAGATAAGATTTCGAGACTTATTAATTGCAGTGCTCCTGTCCAAAGCTGTTTTTCAATTTGCTGATTTTGTGGGTCTGTGGACGATTGATTGATAGATCAATCTGTTCTTCAATATATGTTCGGAAGATTTTTTGAGTGTTTTCATGGTGATCTCTGATTTGATGAGGAGGGAAGAAATTTTGAAACTTGAGAAAATCAAAAAAACATACTGGCTCGATGGTACTTACGGAAAAGCAATCGTTCATCTGATTTATTCGCGTATAATGAGAAAAGGTCGTATATATGACATCGTCTTTTTTACGATTGACTGCATTCCTTGAGGAAGAATTTGTCATTTCTTGTGGAATCTTTGCAATTGCATTTACCAAAGAATTACATAAGACCGAACCCTCATTTGTTTCTCCTCCAGTGAAGCAGACGGACAGTGATGTTCGCAAGACATATTTTAAACTATAAACCAAGATTGGAAATCATATTCCTTATCTTCTGTGGCTGGCATATTTTTCAAGCAATTCATGCTTTGAGTTTCCGAGGATGTTCGGGGGCCGAAGGGAGGCAAATTGGGAGTATCGCAGCTTTACGGGAGATTTAATCGTTTTTCCGCATGCATGTTCCTGCTTTTTTTATTTATGGGAGAAAAGCAACGAAATGGCGGCATTTGTTTTTCCGAGTTTTGTGCTTCGATTGCCGGGAAGAATTTTTGGTCGCATTTTCTTTCATTTTTGGTCGTGAATTTTATGTAATGCGAATCTCCGTACAGTGAGAAAGGATTAGGTGGTTCTTCCGAAGATGGTGTGATTTCTGCGAAGATGTTTCCTCTTGCGTTTATCCGACTTTAAAAAGGCATCCCCCGTTTTTCATTCCGTGCGTAGAGAAATCGTGTTTTCTTTCGGCTCACGCACATTATTGGCAGTGTCTGGAAAAAACATTTTTGAGTGATGGGACATCAATGAAGAATGTGCTGTTTTTTATATCGAACCAGGCTTTTTTTATGCGATTGTTCGAAAGTTCTTGATTTTCTTGGTGAAGCCTCGTGGACGCATGGAGTGGAAACTATGGCCTGGATGTAGCTGGAAATGATGTGACGGAATCGGATTGCAAACATCGGGATCAGAGTTTTTGGTGACTTCCATGCCCTGGAAATTTTGGCGCTGTTATTTAGAGTATTTAGACGAATTATCCCTTCAAAAAAACCGGATTGACTCCGTAGAACACCATTTCGAAGGATTTCAATCTTCAACTTGGAGGATAATTCGTCTTCGGCGAAGCAATCTGCAATACATTGTTCTGTTATTAAGTAAATTTTTGCATATATGTTGGAAGCATTCCTCCGCCCGTCCAGAAAATTTCATTTACGATCAGCCTTCCTTCCCCGGTAAGTTCAAGTCGAGGACCAACACGAGAAGAACAAATATCAGTCGAATTTTTAACGAATGTGTGACGATTCCGTTGCAGATTATTTTACCACTGCTTTTTTTTTTGTCAACAAGAATTTTCGGAATATTTTTTTATCTTGATGAAAAATTTCAACAATTTTTAAATGTGCCATCATTTAAAATCGAAAGTGTAATACTGTAGCCATTTTTAATCTGCCGCATGCTCGATCTATAATGACAGTATGGATTTGACTCGAAATATTGTACGAAGAATTCTTGAAAAAAATGGTTGATTCTGAAGTTCTGTTATTTTTTTATTTCCGTTGATCTCTTTTTTGATGAGCATAATTTTAAACTTGCAATATTTGATCCATTATCTCGACATTGTCGCAAATTTTGCGCACTTGAAATCAAGACTTCGACCAAGATCAGGAGAAAGGAGACGGTTTGTGAGTTGGTTCGAAGGTAATGTCTGAAATCTGAAAAACGGGGTCTAAAAAAAGTTTTATTTTTGGCAATTATCTTTTTGAATTTTTATGAAGAATTTGACTAAAATAAAGTGTAAATTGGTGAACAAGAATCCGCTAAATTCGGTGCTGAAATAATGGAATAAAGTGAGCGTACAGGAGCTCGGTTCCACATGCGCAGTCCCGCTCTGGAACAGAAATCATTGTTTCGAGCTAAGAACTTCACTTTCAGGTCCTCACAAAACCTTTCAACCCGCCCCTTGTGAAAATCTTGCACAAGGAATGAATTAAAATCTTCTCCCACTAAAATCGAATTCAACTCTTCATCCCCTATAAGCGCCAATCTGTTCCCCTCCGAAAAAATGGTGTACTGTACTAGCTGAGAGCGTTATATTTTCTCTAGTAAAAAATCATGCCGCAAAATATTTCCACATATTTAACTTTTTAGCATTTGCCTTAGCTAATATGTTAGATTATGTGTGCGTAGTTTGAATTGCTGCTGCACCAACATATAACCCAACCCACCTGTTGTTCGTATGGCGCTGGGCCACATAAATGCAGTACCGAAAGGAATGAAGACATGGCCTCAATTCCCGCTCCAGAATACTGTACTGTATGTGTTACGCACAGTGTTGAACGTACGTCAAGCATCGTGCTTTTATATTTGCTTCACGATTCTCACAAATAAATACCGCATGACGATATGAGTCACTTATTATTGAACCTATCAAAAATACCTTTTTGGCATGTATAAATATGTTTTATTTTCATCTGAAGGAGTTTTGTATTTATGTGTTCCGCATTGAAATTGGTAACAATGACGTTTGAAAACAAATGCTAAAATGTTAACTGCAATATAAATAGTACCATGCACTGTACTGTATATATTGCATAACTGTATATATACTGTACTTGCAAAAATATACTTTGCCTCTATATTATGCTGGTTCCCACGTGTATATATATATGTGTGGCAAATCTTATTGAAAATTCTAACATTATGGCATGCACAAGGTTGCTTATAGCATGTATATGAAGTCAATGACATATCCAATTCTTTTCACCTTTTGTGGATTAGGACCTTATTTTGGTGCTTTTTCATTACCGATTGGTATACCCAATTAATATACTGCATTAAAGTTGAACCTTGATGAGTCAAACCTACATCATAAGTCAAATACCTCCATAAGTAAAGTTTTTTCCAATCCCAGTCTGAATTTCCTTAGAAGCAATGTATTAAATCCTCTTCAAGTCATACAATGCTTTTCCTCTCAAACCTTGTTCCTTTACTCAAAATTTTCTGAGACTTTTGGCTATTATTTTCTCTACACACAAAATAAAATCAATATAAAAATTCCAAGTTGATGTTTTTTTGAAAGGAAGTGCTGAAGACTAATTGGACAAAATGAACCCTTTCATATTAGTTCAGCATGTTTCATCTCATTCAAGAAGCAATTCATGGCCCAAAATAGTACCAAGTACAATTTCTGGCAATTATTTCATCATTCCCACAGCAAAATGCTTGTTTCCCTACCTGAAGCCTTCCCCATGTATCTTCTAACCTCCTCAAGTCAGATTTTTTCTTGTCCCTTGAAATTTGACTTATATAGAAAGGTTCACCTGTACTGTACCTGCATTTACAAACTTTTGGCCTACCCTATGTACAGGTGAAGAATATGCTCCAGTCTACAACAATATCTTGTCTACAAGGATTTTCTGTGCACAATGATTTTTGTGCTGGTACCATAGGCATAGGGCACTCTGTCCACCCTCTCCCCATATCATAAAGGGGTTCTCTATGAAAAAATTCTCTATGAATTTTTTTCTGGTCCATTGAGTTTCCTTTTATTATTATAAATAATAGTCTGATTATTATTAGTGATTCAGAACAGTTTTGGGCTGCATATACGGATGAGCCAGCTTCATCTGGCAGTTAATGTACCATCCAATGAAGATCGGCATCAGAGCATACCTGATTGTGATGAGATCATATCATGTGGACGAAGTAAGAAAAATAAAGCAGAACCCGTATACACATATTCCATTTTAAAAATAAAAATCTTTCATTCCTTGAAAAATTCAGCGAATTGACTGAAATGTTCCAAAGCATTCAAATGTTACAGCTCCTAAACATAATGACAGGATATTATCAGAAGCTGGATTTATATTCTTGCAAACCGCCTTTTTTTGACAGTGAATGCATTCTTATTGGTACAGATTGAGTTCGCACTAGATCAGAATATTCGTCAAGGAAATAATTTGGTAAGATTTATACAGGTTAAGTATATGGGGCTAATTTGGAAGTAAAGTACTGTACCCGTTGTTCGGGAAAATGTCTGTGATTTTATTTTATGCTCTATGCTGTATTAAACATGGCATTCCACATTGCAGTAGTTGTGGAGGGGCGTTTCTCAGGTGGAATAATGAAAGGTGAGGGCAGGAGAAGAGGTGTAGTTTGGTTCGTTCACGGCGAACATCGTCGACGGATACTATTCCAATTCAAGTTTTTGTGAAATTACAGCACTGTGCAGCATTTCAAGGTGAGCTTGAGTGTAGGCGCGATCACCGCAATCTCCAGTTGAATTTTTGCGAAGAGATCTAGAGAATTCCTGTAGTATTGAACTAGGATCTATTCGTTGTGTCATATGTCGTCAATGAAAAAAAGACCACCCACAAACATACGTGCTTGCAGTAAAAAGTTGGGTTTGTACTTTCCGTGAATCCTTGTATCTCAAATCCTGCGGAGATTTTGTTGTACAGTATTTTGCGTTTTATTTATTTCAGTTTATGGAAGTGACTGGTCTTTTTTCGCGTGTGTGATGCGCTAGTTTTTTTCATGGGATACTCCCGTGAAGATGAGTGGGGAAGTGTTGGCTCGCATGATTGATTCCGGTCAAGTCAAGAATATTGTTCGTCATGGTTTGAAGATCGAGCCCTACCGAAGCATTCTTTGGGAACACATGATACAACTATCAGACAAACGTGCATTGTTGAAGAAACTACTTCAGAATTCCGATGAAGAGCATGATGGGGCCTCATGGAAAAATGATCTCATCACATTGTCGGATGAAGCTACGAGATCCGCATCTTCAAGGGTATTGTCAGCGTTAGTGAAATGGAGTCCCAAACTGTCGAAGTGGAATGATCTTCCTCGAGTTGTTTTCCCTTTCGTCAAATTGTGTGGTATTGACGTTGAGCTCGGGCTTGCGTGCTCCATGGTTGTGCTTAATAATTATTTTCGTTGTGGTTTGATAACATTGGAGCTTGAGCCTCCTTATCAAGTTCTAGGAGGCGTTGAGAAAATTCTCCTGTATTTCGAGCCGACTTTGATGAGACATTTGACCAAATTGGATGCCAATGCACTGATGTATGCTTTGCCTCTGTTTAAAAGTGTTTTCTCTAACGTATTTAAAGACGAAGACTGGGCAAGAGTGTGGGATAATATTTTCGTAAGTGAGCATTGTGGAATGATGGTTGCTCTTGCCGCAAGTTGGATTATCTGCTCAAAAGCCGATTTAATGGAATGTTCATCAGTTGAAAGAGTCGGCGAAGTTTCGAACAAGCCGAATCCCAATGTCTTAGTGAATTTGGTGATCAAAAAGGCGTACAAAATTCTGGAATCTTCTCCGCAAAATGTCTCTCCCAAATCTATTTTTTCATTTCGATTTGTATTCATGGGAAGTGAAGGTTTGCTTCCATCGATACAGATTAGTGACGAATAAGACTTCACCTTTGTTCAGCATTAGTATTTTTTGAGCCGAAGGATTCTATACCATGTGTGCTCTTTCTATATTTTGCAGAAGTTCTTTCTCTTTTTAATTTCTGTTGTACCTGCATTGTAATAGTTCTTCCCGCGTACTAATGATGTCTTCGCGTTCCTTCACGCCGAAGAAACTTCAGTATGATGCTGTTGCTGAAGCGAACTCGGCTAATAAAGAAAATCGTAGTTCGGATCATACTGGGTGAGTTGACCTTTTTTCAGTACGGTATTGTTACCTTTTTGCGATTGTTAGGTTGTTCCGTTTTTCCAACTCGCTGATTTAATTACGTGTTAAGTATCGATTCTGAATCTCGTAACAAATCCTTCTGTCAATATATTGTGCAAGATCTTCTAATTTTACGTATTTTGCACTGTTTTGGGATGAGGTGGGATATTATGTCCCCTTCTGTGGCCTAGTTCACGAATTATTCCGAACTTGACGAAATCGAGACTAAGCCCTAGATTCTTTCCATCCGAGTGCGGTATCTTCGGGAGAGAATGGTATTCAGGTGCAGTCATAGAAGATGCGTATTACAGTACTGTATTCTATATCTGTCGACATTGAGCTAATCAAATTAACAAGATCCGATGTGAAAATGTTTGCGTTTAGGTGTTGTGCTCTATGTTCAGCCGAGAGTATGTCATAGTGCTTGATTTTCTGTGTTTTAAATCGTTATGTATCAACTGCGGAATTCAATTTTCTTCAGGCTTCCGACCGTTTGCACTCCCACGCCCGAAGACAGCTACGAATGCATCGGAGAAAAGCCTGAGTCAGACTTCCATGCGTCTGCGTAAGGCTTTTCTTATCTGTATTCGCGAACTTCACTGATTGATTCTGTATTTCAAATCGCAGGGATGGAGATTCTGTTTCGCCATCTTTATCCGCTAATCATTTTTTGAGGAGGAATACGTGGCTGAGAACAAGCTTGAGGAGCAAGCCAACGAAGTAAGATTCGAGATTATTTATTTAGTTTTCTTCTTCCAACTTGTGGGATTCGATCGTGCATTTGGAAGATGGGCGTGTTTTCAAGTTCGTGTTCATGTTCACGCCCACTGTTTTTTGAGTTCCTGACCTATTTAATTTATTTTGGGGTCAATTTTTTCGCAGCTCTGTCGAGGAAACACCAGCGCAAAATCACAAGAGATGTGGATCGCTTCGCATGTGAGTACACTAATGTATTTGTCTTCATCATATTTTGCTTTCCTTTCCACCTGAATACTATGAGTCTGCCGTTGCGCGAGATATTTCTTCGATCATGGGAATAATTTTCTTGGGTTTAGTACGTTCGGAAATGTCACGCTATAGCAATAGATGCGGCTTTTTACAGTTGAAATGAGCTGTAGCAAGAGATTGAATGTTCGCGATAGGAAGCGATTCGGAAGGAAATGTGGCATTATTTTATTCTCGCTTTAGATTTTATTTCAGTTGACGCGTCAAAGTATTTTCTCGAGACCTTCCTTTGCAAATGAATGTTATGCTGAGTTTTGACGAGTTTCGCTGAACCGAAACGATGGTTTTCGTATTTTAATGATTATGGTCTCTCTCTAGAATTCCCCGAAATAAAAAAAGTCTCTCCCGGGCTGTCATGTTTTGTAAGATTATTCGGTTTGCTGGGAATGATTACTTCTTGACAGCTTAGCTTTTGCAATCATTTGCTGAATGTGAGCCGATGTCGGAATCGAATCTTGGATTTTTGCATGTCTTCTTCACTTTTTCATGTCTCAAATTCCTGGAAAATTCTCTCAGCAATGGTTTTATTACTCCCAGAAGTATGAGGATTGTAAATCCGGTTTGTAATGAATTCAAGGAAGTTCATAAATCATGGAATATGATAGGGAAACGCGTTGAATGTTGTGTTGGTGAATCGCTTTTATGGGGACTTTAAGAAGCAGTAGATTAGTTTTACATACAGTACTGTTACATTTAATGAAAATAACCGATAAGATGACGGAGAAGGTGAATCGTGTTTGTCGGCGATCCTGACATCGAGAGAAAGAACTGAATCTTCTCACACCATGACATTTCATGGAGATACGGTGCACTGTATTCAATAAATAAGTGCTCTTCTTCGCGGTGGGGTTTGTACAGTGCTTGAGATGTTGTCTTGACGTTATTGTCGAGGCTTATTGAATGACAGATTGCTTTTCGAAGCAACACCCGAGAATCGATGCTTCTTCAGATTTTTAAGCCATTATCGTTTTAATGTACTATTTGGGAAAACCGAAAACTTCGGAAGTGAAATCTCGAAAGCAGGTTCTCTTCAGTGATGAACGGTACGTTTGGTCGCTGGCTCATAAATCCTTGTGGTTTACACAGTCCTTTTCGAACAGCTGGTGTGCTGCGATTTTCCCGACTGCGTTTCATCTCGGGAAACCTCCTGCCGAATAAGTAATGATCGATTAAAAGTACTTACTGAGTGTGGTTCTTTTAATCACTGACATCTAGTCCATATTTCTCTATTGCCACGCACTTTCTCGTGTAGCGTACAGCTGTCCCGGCGTCAGTGAAGTACTCACACGTTATTAAATCCATGTTGGGAGGATTTTGAAAGCTACGGTAATCTCCTGTTTCAAGCATATTTTTTTGTGAATGGTCAAGAACTTATTCTTCTTTTGGTGTTGCAGTTAGCTGATATTTTTGCATCCAACAACTTCCGGCGATTAGACATTTGGTACCGTAGTCCACATGAATTCCTCGTTATCGCATTCAGATGAAATAAATTTTCTCACGGCGTCCTGCGAAGAAGAAAGAGTGGAACCGTTTTCGGATATTTTCGCTCAAAATGCTCCTTTCCTTGTGTTTAAAGAAAAGCCTTCTTGCGAGAGGGAAGCGAACGATACATGTTCGTGGGACGCGAGATTATTGCAAACCGTCAGCTTTCTCCTGATTTTGGTCAAAGTCTTAATTTCAAAAGAGTTCAACTTGGACACATTTTGAGGTAATGGCTCAAATATTTGTCGTTGAAAACTCTTGGGAATGCCCAAGGGATCGAAGTTTGCCTTCACTCCGGCCAGCAGTAGAAATCAGCAGTCATTTTTTTGGAAAAATGATGCTTTTCTTGATGTCGATAGTTCGGATTTATTCCTTGCCCATTCCAAACTAAAAATCTTGAATATAGGGAGTACATTCGATCTCCTTCCAAACCTTTTTCCTTGCGGCGTGTTTGTAATTATTCCCAAAACCAAATGCAGTTTTTTTCACTCAAAAACTGCTAAGTAAGAAATTCCTCAAATTATTCACCCTAAATGTCCAAGAAGAGATTTCTGGTAAATACAAGATTTTTTAACGCCAGAAAAACAATGCAAATGCGCAAAATCTGTTCACAAGCAGAAATAAGCTCACGAAAGGGAACAGCCTCTAGCAACAAACCTTTAAATCGCATGGCCAAAATTCAAATACTGTAGATGTCGCCGATTACATCCAAACCACTACTAGAAAAAACCCTGAATCACCGAAACAATATTTTTCTGGGTTTCAGAAAAATTCGGGAGAAAAAATTTAAGCATTTTTTCTCCACAAATATTGCACCTTAAAAAGTATGCCCATCCATCCAAATAGAGATCAACGGAAGTGCGAAAATGATGAAAAAATGAGAATCGGCCAAATCTTTCCCGAGGCTTTTTCGTGAAATGTTGTGAGTCAAATTCACACTGTCTTTGAAAGCGATGAGTTAAATATTTTTACGTTTCGCCATTAGTTGAGAGACTCCACTCCCTGTTTTTCGTACGTGAAGTTGCGTTGAACTTCAATCATAATACAATCAGTTACTGATAATTTTTTGTTGTCGCATTTTTCCGTTGATGGTCGTGGTACCCAGGCATTTAATCATGATGTTTCTAGTTGACAATTCATTCATCCGAAATTTTTCTCTGACTTGAAATATCCTCGAGGGATCTTTAATTAAAAGCCAATGCCACTATACAGTATTTGAATTTAATACTGTATTGTTCGGACACCCATTAAGATTTGTATTACGGTATAATTTTTTTATTACGAAGCCTTTGGGACCGGTAAAATACTGTACCTTTGTTTTGATGAAAAGTTCGTTGTAAAGTTAATCATCTGGAATTCTGGATATTGGACAGGTACCTAAAAGATGACTTTGATGCAAACAATTATTCGTTTTAACGAGATTCTGCTGTATTCACAAAGGAAGTAAAACAGAATCACAATTTTTTCAGATGCCTCAATGTTTTAAAATGAGAAACTGCCTCGAAATTTTCATTCACAACGCTTTATTATTGTGTTCAAGGTTTCGGAAAGGTTTTCATTTGGGTACGGTACTTTTAAAATTACTCAAGTACTCGTGTATTGAAGAAGTTCGAGTACCTCTTCAAGAAGCTCACCTGGAGGCTGCTTTTCGGTGCAGTAATAAAGCTGACCTATGGCGATTCGGTTTCTTTCTTCTTTTTTTTTTTTTGGTATCGCAGGACTGTGAAGTTCATGATCGCCTGCAGGGATCGGATTATCCTTGGGTTCCATCAGGCGAATATTCTTGGTACTTTTAGGATAAGCGTGGGTTGATGAGGAAATCCGCCCTTCGCGTGCTTCGAGCACGTGAGTTTTGCAAGGGTGTGCGCGGTTGGGACAGTGGAGACCTGACTTTCATAATCGATCGTGTGTTTCAGCATGGCTTCTGAATGTCGGTATTTTCATTCTTTCGCTGAGTCGGGGTGTTCATAGGTTTCATTTATGTCTGGCAGTAAATCGAGGCTTTTTTGTCGCCGTGAATGTGTCCTTGAGCCGTGGTGAGAGGCAAATATTTTTTCAGATAAACGCAGAAATTTAACAGCACCTTAAATATTTGTTTTTTTGGTATGTTTAGTTCGTTGATTAATTGAATTGTTGTCATCATGCTGTGTTCGTGAAAAAAGATTAGCGTCGTTTCCATCAGCTTTTTTTGAAGTCGATGAAAATCATTTTTGTCGCAGATTACGTGAGAGCGAATAAATTTGGAAACCAGAACTTTCCTTCTTACCTTGGAAATGAAATAAGATCTTCTATGCCGGGATTCTTCAGCGAAAAGCTAGAAAGCGCTTTGTTTGAAGTTTTTCGTGTAATAATTTTTATTTTGATCTTGTGCTTTTTAGTTTTTATTCAATCATTTCTTTTTCATTTTGTTGTTGAAACTGCTTGAGGTTTGCTTTGTCAGAAATGATTTCATCGTTTTTGGCCATTATTTTCGTGATTGGATCAGTCGTGACTGAATGATTGATAGCATGATAAATCGCGTGGTGAGGCATTTTAAATTCAACATAACTTTTTCAAAATGTTTATTCGTAGTAATGATACCTTGTGTTATTATGGGTTATTATCCTTGGAAATCGTATAAAAGCTGTATATTATATCCACACGGATTGAAAAAATTAATGTACCTCGGTTTTCTTTGGGCGGGTGAATGAGAACTGTTTCAGTGGCATGCGAGGGTTTCCTGGGTTCTGAAAGAAATCGTTTGTCAGAAAGACAATTCAAATTTTCTGCTGATTGATGAAAAAGTCACTGGCATCACTAATGTTTGAATGTTCAAGAAAAATTAATGTTCAAATTTTCCTTGTCTCAAAAAATATTTTTCACTGTCTACTCCTATTACTCAAGGAAATGCTGGATTTTTAACGCACAATTCTGCGGTCATAGGTAATCTTCGATTTAATGATGTACAATGGGAACTTTGAAATATGGTAGGGTACTCTGTATGTGATTGATGTTCTTGATTTATCATTCTGTGTTACCAATTTTAGTGGTTGTAGATGTCACTGAATGTGTCGAGGTCAGCTTTGTATGAGCATGATTCAACGTCAGGCTCAAAATTTCGATTTTCAACGCCTCTAATTTTTTAAGAACGACGTAAATTTTGAGTTCACAAATGAGGATAACTTCGGGACTGAAAAACAATTTTGATTCAATTTTGGAAATCGAAAAAGTTTTCTTATGGAACTTCGCCTTGGCAAATAATTCGTACGAGTTCGAATTTTTTCGGCGTTAATTGAGCTTGAAAATAACGTCGTTAACGGTGTGTTTCTCGGTGTCCTTCGGTGCGTTTCACCTCTGGAGTAATAATCCATTATTCAGTACTGCCCCAGATAGATAGTCGGTGACAGCCCGGGCCTGCGAAGCGGTTTTGTTGTAAAAATGAGTACTGCGAGTCGGGCGGAAAATCTGGGATTTGATTCTCGCCATTTTTTTCTGGGTTACTGCTCACTCAGATGGGTGACGTTTACGTGACGAGATTGAGTGGAACGGATTGAGGATGCCTGTTTTTTTTTTATTCTTCTTCGCAGTTGAGGAAAATGAAGCCTTTTGTGACAGCGAGAATCAAATCGATTTTCGAGTAGTCGGGTGGAATGATTTTTGTGGAGCTTCATGCGGAAATCGCCGTGTTCGAGAGCATGTTTATTTTTTATATTTACGGCCTGTTATTTTTCGGATACCCGACTGCGAGTCGTAGAATTTCGGGTAAACTCGATACTTTCCGTGTTTATAAAGCGGCTAAGGGAAGGCGTAGGATTTTGACGAGTGAAGGAACATCGTGCTTTTAATCTCGAAGTTGTTCCGAGTGAGCCCAGTGAACTCTTCCCTTTCCACGCAGTTTCTTTCCGAAATCCCAAAAAGCATTCTTCAGAATGCATTGCGGTGTGTTCGTGAAAGTACTGTACTTCAAGTGAAGAAATTCGGGGGAAAAAGATCCGAAGTGTATTTAGTTGGATCCTGACTTGTGAGTCTCCTCTGTTTCAAAATCCTGCAGTTCTTGAAGCATTTTAAAGTCTGTTCGATGTTTTGTTACTCTCATCAGTTAGTAAATGTTTAATTCTTTAAAAAATTCAAGTCTTGAACTGGCAACGGTCTGAAAATGCATTTGAAAGCATGACTGAATCAGCAAATATCCGTGCATAATATTTTCGAAGATAGACTTCGAACGATGCGAAATTTTTCACAGAGAAACTCATTAACTTTTGAAAATCGTTCTTTGTGTATGTTGACGATTAAAAAAAACATCGTTGCCATTTTTGCTGCATTTAATTGGAAATTCTATTGTGCGGTTACGTGGTGTAGAGAAATATGATCCCCGTCTTGTTTTTGAGAGGATGGAATTTTTTTTTTTAAGCCCAGTTCTTTTCACCAACTGAAAGTCGTCGTTTCTGCTGATTGATGAAAAAGTCATTGGCATCACTAATGTTTGAGAATTTCGTTTAGTTTGTGATGCTTGGAGTTCGCGGGACTTCTCGATGAATGAAAGCTGAGCAGCTGAAATCTACGGGGAGATTTAGGTTTTTCAAGACTGGATTTGTGCTCTTTCAATTCGGAGTGGTGAAACGTGGAATTTTCTTTTTGTGATTCGTCTGAAGTTCATCGTGTTGAAAGATGGGAGGAGAGTCGAAAATTTTTTGTTTGTATCTACGTCCATTAGTTGGACAAAAAAAAATCAAATCCCCGGAATCGTACAACGATTAAGGACGAAATGTTGCTTTGGGGGCGAAAATTGAAAACTACCTCTCGGAACTTTATCTCACGTCTGGTGTGTACTTTTCTTTTTCTTTCGAAGAGAGAGAGAAAAGAAAAGAGAAAGATTTTGGCCTCGTCGAGTCCTCGATCGAGTCTCCAGTTTCCAGACAATCAAGGCAGAAAATTGTTGCTCTCTCGGTTTTTTTTTTTTTTTTTTTTCGCTTCCCAGCCCCGTTGATGTTTCTTTGCTTTCTTCCAAACCACACCACTACTGGCCTGGGAGTCAATTTCATGAATTGTGAGTGAAAAGCACCGAACGATTTATTTTCATATAGTTTCTCTCTCTCTCTCTCGAGTTCTGCGGGAAACGCGGGTGGATTATTGAAGCGTGGACGGCGGTTGTGTGTGTCGTGGCTTTCCGGTGAAAGAGCCGCATTGTTCCGCCGACGCTCATTGTGCCATCAAGTGACTGTTACCTGTCAGTGGCAAATTGTTTTTCCATCTGTCGATAACGTTTCAAACACGAATTGTTTGAATTCTTTGCTCGTGAGAAATCGTCTGTATCTCTCTCTCTCTCTCTGCTCAGGGCGATTTGTGGTTCCGCGAGAATCGGTCCCGAACGAAAAGGGACCCGGCTGGAGACGAACTAGTGAAGAATAATCCACGAAAAAGATAGAAGCTCCTGGGGTTTTAGGGGATTACATGTGGGTCAACGAGACCAATTGGTTAGGGAGTGATGGTCAGTTAAATTTTATGAGTATTTTAACAGCTTATACTGTATTGGTGGACCCTCTATACTTCAAAATTCAATGGGCCGGAAAAAAAATGTTTTAGGGAGAATTTTATTGTAGAAAACCCGTATAACTTGGGGAGAAAACCGCATGTGACAAAAAAAGAATTAACTCGTTGTACAGAGAAAATCGTTCTAGGGAGTGTCCATCTGGATTTACTCTACATTACCCAATTTTGAATAAGACACGCACTGCAATGGTTCACCTCTAAAATTTTGATGAAATTCGAACCCCCGGTAAGGCGCGCTTCCCTTTTTATGTTACTAAGAACTGCAATATTTAGAAAGGAAGAGACATCAGAGTTCAAATTTTGGCTTTAATTTCAACCTTATTTCAGTTGGGTTAAAAATTTTTTGGTTAAAAAAGTTTTCTCTCAATGCTTGAAGCATGACGCACACCTAAGCTTCTATTGAAAAATGTGATCCCTTTGTTTGACACGCACTCCCTCTCCCTCAATTTTGAGAAAAAAAAAACAGGCGTGCATGGTGCTGGAGTAAATACTGTAGTGTATTTAAAGAGGCAAAATCACCATTTTAGACCGAGTGTTTTATTTTCATACAGATTATTCGTCATTTCCAGAGTTTTTAAAGACAACCCTGTTGCAGGAGCACATTATTATATTTTCCAACCAATATATCCCAGGAATGGAATATTCCTCATCAATGTTTCTAAGGAATACGATACTTCTGAATATGTGGGCCTTGTCTGGTCTTGTGTGCCAACTGAGCATCGCTCCCTAACCTGTTGGTCCCGCAGCCTTGCTTCCAGCTGGGGACTTTTTCTTATGGTCCTGGGTTCCTTTTCTAGCCTGTTTCTGGGCCTTCTTCTTCGGGTCCTTTTTCGCTGGGGACTTGGAAGTCCGGTCTAGAAGCGCGATTGATTTAATGTATACTTTGATCGTAAATATCGGCCACACTCTGATTTGGACAATTATTTCACAAAAAAATGTTGAAAACAGAAGTTTTTTCTCTGTTCAGTCGAAACTGATGGGTTCACGGGCTCTGAAAGATTATCTAGCTTTGGAAGGAACGTTGGCGAGTTGCTGATTGATCATTGATGCACTTTTATGATTTGAAAGGTGCAGAGGACGGTTTTCAGTTTTTCGGATATTTCGAGTGTAGGCCGCACGAGAAATTTTTAGTGCAGTTTTTTAAAGGGAATCAGTCGGAATTTTTCCAGCTCAGGATGCTGGTGTTTTCAGATTATACAGAGCTTCGT